TCTAGAGAAGAAGCCTGGGCGGAATTGGTTTTCCTGACTCCAGTCTTTCCTTCCAAACCATTCTCCACATTGCCACCAGAATCAGCTTTTTTTTTTTTTTTTTCCTTTTTTAAATAGATGGGATCTCACTATGTTGACCAGGTTGGTCTTGAACTCCTGGCCTCAAGTGATCCTCCCACTTTGGCCTCCCAAAGGGTTGGGATTACAGGCATGAGCCACCATACCTGGTCCAAGATGGAGCTTTTATTTTTGAGACAAGAGTCTAGCTCTGTCGCTCAGGCTGAAGTGCAATGGAGCAATCACCGCAACCTCTGCCTCCCGGGTTCAAGCAATTCTCCTGCCTCAGCCTCCTGAGTAGCTGGGATTACAGGCATCCACCACCACGCCCGGCTAATTTTTGTATTTTTAGTAGAGATGGGGTTTCACCATGGTTGCCAGGCTGGTCTCGAACTCCTGACCTCATGATCCACCCACCTCAGCCTCCCAAAGTTCTGGGGTTACAGGCATGAAGCACTGTGCCTGGCTAAGAATGAGCTTTCTAAAACACAAAACTGATTATGTTACTTCTCTACCATATATATTCAATGACATCCTACCACGTAAGAGATGCATCTATTAGTAGGTATTTTAGTGGTCACATAAATTGGAGGAATACTGGATTAAACCAAGTAAAGGTTTTTTACAGCAATGCTTCTCGAAGATGTTGATATTCTCATACAGACTGTAAACGTCTACATAAAGGATAGCACATCTGGCTATTCTCCAAAGTTGACCAAGGCATTCTTTTTATTTTATTTATTTATTCTGAGTTGGAGTCTTGCTCTGATGCCCAAGCTGGAGTGCAGTGGTACGATCTCTGCTCACTGCAACCTCTGCCTACTGGGTTCAAGCGATTCTCCTGTCTCAGTCCCCCAAGTAGCTGGGATTACAGGCGTGTGCCACCACACCTGGCTAATTTTTGTATTTTTAGTAGAAATGGGGTTTCTCCATGTTGGCCAGGCTAGTCTGGAACTCCTGACGTCACGTGATGCACCTGCCTCGGCCTCCCAAAGTGCTGGGATTACTGGTGTGAGCTACTGTGCCTGGCCTCTTTTTTTAAAATAGCAGCTTGATGAACTAATGCTCCTTGGAACATACACTGGGAATCAATTTAGATATTTCATCAACTGACAAGGCATACAGGGCAATGTGAGAGGCAGATTGGGTGTAACGGTTTTAGAACAGAGAAAAACCACAGGGTCCTGGCTTCTTCACACTGTAGCTGGTCACTTTGGTTGTTAGTTAAACTTCGTGATTCAGTTCCCATACTTGTATAATGGAGAAAACAATAGTACCTACCTCATAGAGTTGCTGACAGGATGAAATGAGCCACTAATAACAAAGCAATTATTAGTTTTTCCCTGCTTCTCCCCTTCTCTTAAACTGAAGATCTTGTTAGAATGAATTATTCATGCGAATCCAAGAGTTACTGATGCCTTTACTACTGCTTGCTTCCTATAAATATCTACTCCTATTTTTAAAGTCCAGCTCAAAAGAAAACCAATTTGGAGATTTCCTTAATCTAAAACCCTGAAGAGATTTAATGCTTTTTTCCATTTTGTGTCCATAGTACTTTCTCCATCAAAACATCATAGCTTTCATTACATTACAAATCAATAGCTTCCTGTTTTTCATACTAGTATGTTAAGTCAGCGGAATAGATAATGTTTAATCCATACATGTTTGAATGACTTGTGAATTTAAAAAGTGATTTTAAAAATTAGGCCCGGAGCAGTGGCTCACGCTGTAATCATTATTTCCTCTGAATCCAACTTACCATTTTTTCTTGTATGTTATTCATGTTTGGTTTATTTTATAAAGACAGGGTCTTCCTCTGTCACCTGATATAAGAGCTGGCAGTGCAGTCTGGAGGGGAAAGGCTCTAGACAGAACAAGATCCTGTTTTATAAAATAAACAAGCAAGCCATGCTCGGTGGCTCATGCATGTAATCCCAGCACTTTGGGAGGCCGGGACAGGCGGATCGCCTGAGCTCAGGAGTTCGAGACCAGTTTGGCCATCATGGTAAAACCCTGTCTCTACTGAAAATACAAAAATTAGCCTGACGTGGCCAGGCGTGGTGGCTCACACCTGTAATCCCAGCACTTTGGGAGGCCGAGGTGGGCGAATCACTTGAGGTCAGGAGTTCGAGACCAGCCTGAACAACATGGTGAAACCCCGTCTCTACTAAAAATACAAAATTGGCTGGGCGTGGTGGTGCATGCCTGTAATCCCAGCTACTCGGGAGGCTGAGGCAGGAGAATCACTTGAACCCAGGAAGCAGATGTTGCAGTGAGCCAAGATCGAACTACTGCACTCCAGCCTGAGAGACAGGGTGAGACTCCATCTCAAAATAAAATAAAATAAAATAAAATAAAATAAAATAAAATAAAATAAAAATAAAAAACAAAACACGAATAAAGAATAAATAACATACAAGAAAAAACAAAATGGATTCAGAGGAAATAATGAAAGACAATAAAAACATTGAGTGCCAAGTGCGTGCTCTCTCTCTATACATATATATGTACACATATCTCTATGTATATATATATTTTGAGACGGAATCTCCCTCTGTTGCCAGGCTGGAGTGCAGTGGCGCGATCTCGGCTCACTGCAACCTCCGCCTCCCGGGTTCAAGCGATTCTCCTGCTTCAGCCTTCCGAGTAGCTGGGACTATAGGTGCAGACCACCACAGCCAGCTAATTTTTGTATTTTTAGGAGGGACGGGGTTTCAACACGTTGGCCAGGATGGTCTCGATCTCTTGACCTCGTGATCTGCCCGACTCGGCCTATCAAAGTGCTTGGATTACAGGCATGAGCCACCATGCCCGGCCTATATTTTTTATTTGAACAAATTATTAAAGAGCAGTACCTATAATGTTTTGCAAATAAAATCTAGGCTTCTCTTGAAGATCTTGTAACAAACTAGATTATCATTTGACTCCTATAGTTGTAATATAAAATACAAATACAACTAAAAGCTAGCCGGCTGGGTGCGGTGGCTTACACCTGTGGGCAGATCACTTGTCAGGGGTTCGAGACCAGCCTAGCCATCATGGTGAAACCTCGGCTCCACTAAAAATACAAAAATTAGCCCAGCATGTGGTACACACTGTAGTCCTAGCTACTTGAGAGGCTGAGGTAGGAGAATTGCCATCCTGGCTAACACAGTGAAACCCCGTCTCTACTAAAAAAAACAAAAAAACAAAAAAATTAGCTGGGTGTAGTGGTGGGCACCTGTAGTTCCAGAAAGAAAGGTGTGAACCTAGGAGGCAGAACTTGCAGTGAGCCGAGATTGCGCCACTGCACTCCAGCCTGGGCAATAGAGCGAGACTCTGTCTCACACACACACACAAGAAAGAAATTTATAAAAAAATCAGTCAATGCTACAGGAAGTAATATATTAAGACAGATACTCTTATTAGTGTCAGTAAGAATGCAAATGGGTAGGCCGGGCATGGTGGATCACACTTGTAATCCCAAGCACTTTGGGAGGCCAAGGCGGGTGGATCACTAGAGGTCAGGAGTTTGAGACCAGCCTGGCTGACATGGTGAAACCCCATCTCTACTAAAAGTACAAACATTAGCCAGGCGTGGTGGCATGCGCCTGTAAACCCAGCTACTCGGCAGGCTGAGACAGGAGAATCACTTGAACCCGGGAGGTGGAGGTTGCAATGAGCCGAGATCGTGCCACTGCACTCCGGCCTGGGAGACAGAGTGAGACTCCATCTCAAAACAAAAAGAGTAAATTGGCATATAGTTTTTGGGAATGTGTTTTGCATGCAAAGCCTCAAAAGAGCCAATTTTAGAAATTAATACTAATGAAATAATATAAAATACATAAAGATGTTTTCTGCTCTTTGCAATAAACTAGGAAAAAACCTCTGAAGGTACAGACAATAAAGGATGATTAAGATTTATCCCAATGAAGCCATTTAACAAGCTATACATTTAGATCTAATTAATATGGGTAGATGTTTTAAGTTTCATGAGGACACTGCTCTTATCTAGCTTTTCACTTTTGTATCCCTAGGGCATAGAATAAGGCCTAGCACATAAATGTTTAATAAGTATTTGGTAAGTAAATGAAAAAGTAATGTTAAGTAAAAATGATATAAAATTTTATAAAATGTGATTTCTGTGAAGAAGCTGTATAGAAAAAGAATTGGAAAGACACACAACCAAATGGGAAAAGAGGTCATGGGCAATTTTACAAAACAGCTTTATTGAGGTATAATTTGACATACCATGAAATTCACCCATTGTATGTGTACAATTCAATTACTTCATTTATACAACTGTTCAATAATCACCATATTCCAGCTTGATGGTCAATATTTGCTTTGTCATTTGATCTTTTCTCTATGGTAAACAAAAATCTATTATTTGAAAGGGTCCTTCACTGAAAGCTGGGTGCAGTTGAACTCTAAAATTACCAACAAAATTACTTTCTATGTAATCATCTATGTCTAATTCTTCAGTTTGACACATGCATGTTACTAGCACAAGTTGCATTTAAAGGCAGCAGGAAGGTCTTTCACTATTATTAAAAATTAACTTTAAGGATGGAGCAGGCACGATACAGTATAGATTGTTTCGTGAACTATATAGTAATGTCAATATTCTTGCTCCTTCTACAAATAAAAAAAAAAAGTTCCACAGAATAACAAGTACAGGTGGAGTTCCCATTGGAAATGCAGGTATTGAATGCAACCAACCGCAACTGTTTCTCTGCTCCTCAATCCTGCTAGCGTACTACGCGAGCTACCGACGTCCCCCAACCCACCAGGTAAGCCAGCCGCTCCTGTCCCTAGCCTGTGAGGGGGTCAGAGGTAAGACCTTCGGTGTATTCACTTAGCTCCCTACGGAAAACTCTTCGAGAAGAAGGCGACTGAGATCGGTTAGCACTTAAATCCCTTTCACAGCCCCGGCTCCCATCGCCCCTCCTATGGCCTCCTACCTGCAGAGAAGCACAGCAGGTACACCCAGTGCCTTAGGCGGGCCAAGCCTAGCACTGTGGGAGCAAAAAACATGGCTTCATCGTCAGGGTGCGCTATGGCCAGGAGGGTCCGGCTTTCGGCTCCCAGCCGTTCTCCCTGCTCCCGACTCTTCACTCGTTCTGAGGAGTCCCAAACCCAGAGGAAGCCCCATGCCACGACCGCCGCCGCCACACACACGAGCCACATTGCTTCCATTACGGGTAAGTAGCATTGAGCCTGCGCAGTAGGAAAGGCTAACTGACCCCGACTCCGGCTGGAAAACGGCACCCGGGGATGTTGGGTTCCGCGGTTAAGTCCCTCCCCACCGACATGCTCCGGAAGCTTGAGGTTTTACCATTAAGGGTTCTCCTGTGTTTTAACACAGAAGTCGCCATGCCGTCCAGTTTCCTACCCTAGTCCTACCACACTGTACAATCGCTTTAAAAGGACGCGTCTTATATATAAGCTACCACTTCTTGTCTTGTAGGAAGAGTGCCTTCCTCTTCTTCAACTCATTTTCGAACTCATTTCTTAAAACTCGGGCCTTTCTCGTAATTATAGGGTTAGATAGCCCGTTATCCGGATGAGTTTTCCGAAGCAGCCAGTTACACCAACTTTGTTTTTCCTTCTCACTTTTGGATGGCTTTTCTTTTTTTTTTTTTTTTGAGAGGCTCTGTCGGCCAGGCTGTAGTGCAGTGGAGCGATCTCGGCTCACTGCAACCTCTGTCTCCCGGGTTCAAGCGACTGTTCTGCCTCAGCCTCCCGAGTAGTTGGGACTATAGGCGCGCGCCACCACGCCCGGCTAATTTTTGTATTTTTAGTAGAGACAGTGGTTCACCATATTAACTAGGCTGGTCTGGAACTCCTGACCTCGTGATCCGCTCGCCTAGGCCTCCCAAAGTGCTGGGATTACAGGCGTGAGCCACCGCGCCCGGCTCCTTCTTTCTTTTTTTTGAGTCAGGGTCTGGCTCTGGTCGCCCAGGCTGGAGTGCAGTGGCGCGATCTAGGCTCGCCGCAACCTCAGCCTCCCGCGTTCAAGCAATTCTCCCACTTCGGCCTCCCCAGTAGCTGGGATTACAGGCACGCGCCACCACGCCCGTTAATTTTTGTATTTTTAGTAGTGACGGGGTTTCTCCATGTTGGTCAGGCTGGTCTCGAACTCCTGACCTTAAGTGATGGGCCGGCCTCGGCCTCCCAAAGTGCTGGGATTTACAAGCGTGACCCACTGCGTCCTGTCGGGCCTGGCTTTTCTAAAGGAAAGTATGCGTGCGGTTACGAGGAACCGTCATTTCCCCGGCAGGGTAAGGCTGAGAGTGCACTTAACAGTCGCGAGGGCCACAGGCTCCTATTGCAAGTAACTTAAGGTTAAGGAGAAACATCGTGCACAAATCGGCCTCGCCCAGCATTTCAGTGAGGGCTTGATGCGAATTCCAGCCAGACCCCTAGAAAGTATCTTGGGCAGGTCGAAATGCACCCCTCCGGCTCCCAGCCACGAGGGGGACCTGGCTTCCCTCTCCGCGGCTCCGGACAGAGGAGGCCGCCACCGCCCCGCCGCCGAGGGTTGCAGGGTCCCTTGCACGGCCTGGCGTTTTTCCTTTTCCCACGCCTGGGGAAGGCGTCAGGCGCGCAGAACAGACTGGCTCGCGGGGGGCGCACAAGCCCAGGGCGCGATGGCAGCCGCGCTGGATCCGGCTGGGCGCTGCCCGGCCCCGTCTCCGTCCGAGAGGACCGCCGCTGCCAGGCCTAGAGGAGACGTGAGGAGACCGGGCGCGGCGCGACCCAGGAAGCTCCGCCGAGGTAGGAGAGGCGCCCGGCCAGCGGAGGGAGTCGGTCTCCCAACTCTCCGGAAGGAGGAGGAGCCGGCGCCGGAGCCGCCTTAGCCGCGGCTCCCCGGGCTGGGGGGAGGGAGAGGGGTTGAGTCAAGATGGCGGCCAAGGTGGCGAAGCAGCAGCAGCGGCGGCGGCGGCGGCGGCTGGAGTGAGCGCCCGGCTCGCCGCGCCAAGCGAGGTCCCGGTGTAGGGCCGCGCGCCGGGACCGCGCCCCACTGCTCAGGCCGGGGCGCACGTCGGCTCCCACGCTCAGCCAGCTCCCGGTGAGTAGGCCCTGGCGCCTGCAACCCCGGCCTCCGGGCTCCTGTTAGTCCGGGGGCTTCCGAGGTCTCCCGGGGCAGCAGCCGCTGGGACGGTTTCTCCGCCGTGCGGGGGGTGTCGCAGGCCTGGGCAGGTCGGGACCCGTCCTGGCCGCCTGGCCTCTTCTCCTCGGTAGCCCAGGGGAGAGCCGGGCGCGGCGCGGAGCTCAGGCTCGGCTAGCGGAGGCTTATGGAGTTTGAAGGAAGAATGGGCTGTGGCCGGGCCAGGGCTGGTCCCGAGGTGTCCTGTGCGGAGGGGCGTGCAGAGCCTACAGGGCCCGCGAGGCAGAGCGGGCAGCCGGGGCCCCGGGTGGGGCCGGCGCAGGTGGCGGGCCTGGGCTCACTGAGGCGGAGTTGGTGGCCGACTTGGGAGTGTAGAAGGGGGCTAGGGAGGGTGACAGCCATGGACAAGTGCGAGCAGAGTAAATTAGTTCACCTTTCTAACAGACCGCTTCAGGGTGTAATGGCGAAGGCTGGGTACTGGTGGAGATGGCAAAGATCCGAACCCTATACCTCTGCCGTTTATTGTTGGTGTTTTCTTGAGCGAAGTCCGTGAGTGCACCTCTTTTTGGGGAGAGAGGAATTTGAGAAACTGTAGTTGTGAAATCAGCCTTTATGGAGAGGAGACTGAATTCTTCAAATTCACTGGATCAGGAATAGTCATGTATTAGAGGAATGGATGGGAATAAGTGATATGGACGAAAACTATTTGCTCAGAAAGTGTCAGTTTTCTTTATGTGATGTTGCATGCTGCGGTGCCTCTTCAACAGAGTTAACCTTGGAGAGTAGTGGTATAGGTAATTCTAATCTTTGGGATTAGTATGTAAACCTGCATCAGATTTGCTTCTCTAATTATATCCTAATTATATTGAAATTTACATTCCATGTGTGCACCCTGCTGAGGCAGTGATGGAAGGCTGAACATGGCAATGTGCAAGGAGCAACAGGCCTGGGATTTAAAAATGCCTACAAAGATTCATTCATTCGTTCAACATATCTTGATCAATAGCTGCTGATGCTGGGTCACATGTGATTGTCCTGTGGATAACTGAAGAGTTGATGGCATTGTTTAATTTTTAATAGCTTTTTGAAATGTTTTGATGTACCTTTTCATGAAGATATTTATTGGATGAACCAACTTGTACTTGCCCGGGCTCAGGAGCAGACCAATTTTAGAATGTTATTTAGACAAGGGTAACAATTACAGAAGAAGTAACCGCAAGTTACTGGAGAGAGAAATCTTGTATCTTTTTTTCTTCTTCTGTTAACATCCGGTGGAAATTTATTTATTTATTTTAGTATTTATAGTACCCAGTTGCTTGGCCTTGCTTTAAGCACACCTGTTAATGGAAGTCAAGATTAATTGTATATATGGATATAGCTATGTATAAAATGCTCACAGTAGGAACTGATTACTTACAATACTAAAATACTCTTTCCTTTTACAAAAGGCTTGCCATATGTTGAACTACTCCCCCGGAGAAAATATAATACAAAGTATCTTGATTCTTGCTGTAACTATGTGACATTTTGGAACTTGATCAACCTTTCTGTGCTTCAGTTTCCTCATCTTTCATATTAGGTAAACATCTACTCTCCTAGGGTTGGCTATTGTGAGCCTAAAGGGAGTTAATAGTTATCAAATTGTTTTAAACAGACTGAAGGGGTTATATTTCTGTGAGGTGGTAACAGCTCCCTCTGGACTCTTGTAATGCTTTTTCTGCACATCTCTCATGGCATTTACACTTTCAATCTTGTAGGTATTTATGTACCTATTTTATCTCTTGAGAGCAGGATAGGCCCTTCTCTGATTTTATCTTTTTTTTTTTTTTTTTTTTTTGAGATGGAGTCTCGCTCTGTCGCCCAGGCTGGAGTGCAGTGGCACAATCTTGGCTCATTGCAACCTCTGTCTCCGGGTTCAAGCGATTCTCCTGCCTCAGCCTCCCAAGTAGCTGGGACTACAGGCGCGTGCCACCACGACCGGCTAATTTTTTTGTATTTTCAGTAGAGGCGGGGATTCACCGTGTTAGCCAGGATGGTCTCGATCTCCTGACCTCGTGATCTGCCCGCCTTGGCCTCCCAAAGTGCTGGGATTACAGGTGTGAGCCACCATGCCTGCCTTATTTTTAATTGAATTTAAAAAACAGTAAAATGTGTGTTTTGCCTATCCTCTTAATCAAAAAAGAATGAAATGATGGAAATTAACTTATAGGCAAAATTAGATTAGTCAATAACTTCTGTAAAGCTTTTTTTTTTTTTTTTTTTTGAGACAGGGTCTCTTTTGCCCAGGCCGAAGAACAGTGGCTCGCTGCAGCCTTGACCTCTGGACTCTGGTGATCCTTCCACCTCAGCCTCCCCAAGTTGCTGGGACTACAGGCGCAGGCCACCATGGCTGGGTAATTTTTTTTTTTTTTTTTGGTAGAGACAGGGTTTAACCATGTTGCCTAGGCTGGTCTCCAGCTCCTGGGCTCCAGCGATCTGCCTGTCTCAGCCTCCCAAAGTGCTAAGATGATAGGGGTGAGCCACTGCAACCGGCCTTAAAAGCATTTAAAAAAAGTTGTGTTATGAATTGGTGAGATTTTCTTTTCTTACCTTTGTTATCTGCTGTAGAAGGCAAAGGACTTTGGATAGACTGGGGGTTGATGCAGGTGAATGTCAGGCTGTTTGTTTTTTAAAAAATATGTTTTGGTTATTTGGTTTTGATTGTATTCTGTGATCTATCTTAGTTGTAATTTCAAATTCTTATTGATGCCTGGGAATGATATAACTCTTGCATATTTAGTTCCATCTGTTCTTTTACTTCAGATATTGGATTTTACTAGACTATGATACAAAACAACTAGTAAAGGTTGATCAGAATTTATTATGTATAATCTTATTTGTAGATTAGAGATTCATATATTTTTGTTTACTCACTTATTCAACCAGTATGAGGTGTTTTTTATGTTCTGGCACACTACTAGTAAATACTAGAGAGTTATAAAGTATAGTCGAGCAGGTCAGTTATATTCACAAATAACTCAGTCTATAGATTATCTTTTTTTTTCTTTTTTTTTCCTTTGAGACGGAGTTTCACTCTTGTCGCCCAGGCTGGAGTGCAGTGACGCGATCTCAGCTCACTGCAACTTCCGCCTCCCAGGTTCAAGTGATTTCTCCTGCCTCAGCCTCCTGAGTAGCTGGGATTACAGGCATGCGCCACCATACCTGGCTAATTTTTGTATTTTTAGTAGAGACGGGGTTTCACCGTGTTGGTCAGCCTAGTCTCGAACTCCTGACCTCGTGATCTGCCCGCCTTGGCTTCCCAAAGTGCTGGGATTACAGGTGTGAGCCACTGTGCCCGGCCACATAGATTATCTTATATTTGGTCCTTTCCAGGTTTGAGGATGTGAAAAATACATGTAATACATGTAAATGGTTAAGAAAACATTGTGTTTCTTTTTTTATTTGCCCTTTTAAGAGCACTGAAAAACTATGAAAAGCTTCTGTAATGTAGTAATAACCGTATGTGGAGCATCTGTTTTTTATTTTGGTTTTTTTCTGGTGGCATTTTTC